GGAAGGAGGAAATATGCCTTTCCTGTGCTTAATTCAATTAACACAGGAATTGGAAAATAACCTATTGCTTGGTGGTAACAAATCATTCCTGCACTGCCTTCTATTGTGTGTATCATAAAATAACTCAGACCAGCCTCAAGATTCACTTTTAGTACTAAAAAAACCCTCAGAAATCTAATAAACGTCAAAACCAGATGACAGATTAAAAAAAATATAATTAAGGAGTAACAGCAACATCTTTGTTCTATGTCTAGTAAAATACACGTAAGAGTTGAATTCCAGTAATGAAAATGAGTGTTTAATTTCCTATATCTAACACACAGAAGTGATTTTTGTTTTTCACATATACTGTTTTCCATTTTTAAGTCCAACCATTACCTAAAATAGGCACATGACATTCATGACATTCCAACATTTCTTTGCAAGTTCTAATTAATAACTGGCATATATTTTCATTAAGATTTTACCTGGTTTTATTAGTATTCAGTTTATGCACTATTCAATCAACAGAAGGCAAAATGAGTGAACAGGATTTAAAGTTACTTGTTATAAGACTGCCTTTGCTAAGAATAAGCAGCGACGCACTGGAACTTACACATCTTTTAGGTAAATATATGTGTCAGTTCAAAGCAGACAGGCAACTACTTCAACCTGAATATTACACAGCAAGCCTGAGCTCATTTTCTGACATCCTGCAAAACGTCTTGTGACAATTCTGCACTGAATTGAAGGCAGCTAGTGAATGAATGCACAGCAGCTTAATGGAAAAAGAAAATAACCTTGTAAACAATAACCCTAATTCAAACCCACAATGGGTAAGATCTACAAAGACCATTTCTAGTGCACAAGAGAAAAAGCAGTTATTGAGGTAGAAGATAATAATACACAAAAATTTAGCCAACATGGACTTTTACACAGGCTGTCTGAAGTCTACATTCTTGGAGGTTTAAGTTGATTAGGTAAAAATCACCGGTTTTACAGCACACTTTCAACCTAAAGCCTTACATATTGACTATGGCACACAACATAGTAGCTAGAACAGTACAATCAGAGCACAATCCTCTGTGAGCATTTCCAAAAGCATTCAAGTACACTGACTTTCTGAACTACATACAACGATAAGAATTTCCCTAACCTTTTAGCCTCTTCAGATAAACGCTTTTATGCCTCCCTTCACCGTAAAGCTTTCCCCTATGATCTTCAGCCTCACCCATGTATGCTCTGCCTTGCAAGAGCATTCCTACCAGCAAAGCAGTAACTCTGGAAGAGAATTTCATCTGTGGAGTAACTCCTCCATGATTTCGTCCGTAAATTCTGACCTCACTGTAAGTAAGGTAAAATTCTGCTAACACTTCCCACAGATCATGACAGGCTGCTACCACACCGTGTTATTCAGTATCTGCAATAGGTCCAAAGATCACAAAATCTAAAGTTCCATGCAAGCCGTCCACATGACAAGAGCCTTGCAAATAGATTAGAAATTTGGCTCAAAGTAAAAATGGGCATTTCTCACTGCTGTGAAACAAACAATCTGCAAGCTCAAACTTACTTTGTGCTGCCCCATGTTATCATATAACCCAAATACTCACAGAAGTTTTTAATACGCAGTGCTAGAGCGTTAGTAGAAGTCTGCAGAAGCATCTCTACTGTTGACTGGTTCTTCTTTGAGGCTATGAACTCCACAGATACCTCTTTTGACAGCCATGGCATTTTGATTACAGGTCTGCTCTTCGTCTACCCCCCACCATTAATTTCCTGCCTTCATTCTGGACTAACAACCTTCTGAAGTGCATTTTAAGAATCCCTTAAAAGCAACTTGTTGAGCAAGTGGTAAAGTGCTCCCTACTAATTAAAGATCTGGAACAAAGGACAAAACTGTTCTTTCTTGTGACCTGAGCTACTATCGATCTATGAGTTAACATAGCTCAGTACAGATGCATTTGTATGTTCTTTCTGGAAGGTACTTAAAGACTTCTGAAGCTAGGCTGAAATATGACAAATATCACAGTATTTAAAGTTCAAATCTACCCCCAAACCCTGGAAGTACTTGGCCACAGTGGGTTCCTCAAATTTAGAATTAGTATTTTGTGTTCATCTGCGCATAAACAGTAACTTTCAAAGCTTTTAAACTTTAAGAACTTCCCCTAGCTGGAAATAAACCCATACTTTCTTAACTAACCTCCTTACTAGGAAATGCTATCAATACAGGACACTACAAATAACAGTTTTATGTACAGTTTGTCTTCAAAACAAAAAGATCTATTACATTTCACATACCCATTTCGAAATGCAAACACTTTATTGAATCCAGGCTCAGACAGCCTTTAAATGGCATATACAAAGCAAATCAGTAACGTGCTGTCTTGCTGAAGCTGTATATGCACATGGAGAACGTTGCTGAAGTATCTAGAAAAAGCAATTTAAGATCTTCCAAGAAACACTGAAACAAGAGACAGGCCAGAAGCAGCCAGAGCTTATTTACATGAACATCAGTTTAGAACTGATCACCTACATGGTCATTACTACAGAAAATCAAGTTCTTTCCACAGCTTGGCCCACAACAGGACGGTTCACTGATCATCTCCCTCTCTACGTATTACAACAAAACACTATTTTTATTTCATTATCACTTGCTACAGCTCCCAGACTGTAGTTGTTTTGTCATTTTTCTTAAAGGGAGCAACAAAAGGAAGAGCCAGGAGCCATACCGGAATTCTTTGGTGCTTCCCAAGGCTGGTGAAGCAGACAAACTTCGTGACTTGGCTCGTCCTCGGCTCGTGTTGCTCCACTCCTCATCATCGTGACACGTTGAGCAATGATAAGCAGACTCTGAGCTCACATCAGCCTTACTGGTACACAGTTTTTCTCGATTCATCTCCATACTGGAAGTGAAGTAACCTCAGTGAGAGAGAAATTCAATTCCTGTGGAAAAACACCAGGAGAAAGGGGACAGGGAGGAAAGAGAAAAAACCCCTCAGTATTAGCAAAACTAATACAGTAAGTATTAAACACTGAGTTTATACACTTGGATAAAAACTTCTCAAAAGGATCTGGGCAATTGAGAAGTTCTTCAAGGTAATCTGAAGCAATGGGAATTAAAACACATGTTCTCAGATTCTTAAGAGGCTCAAAACAAAGCTGTTTCAAGACCAGCACAGATTCACATCTCCAGTTACAAATGGGATAAGATAAATTTATTTTAGATACTGAAGAGGAAGGAAAGCTTTAAGTATTTGACAAGGAATTAAGACTTAGGAAAAGCTAGTCTCCTATTACATGATATATATCTTCAACAAATAAAACTACAATACCCTAAGCTATAGCAGAAAAAACCCTGTCAAAGTAAGCAAAAAATAATGCAACAGAGATAACCTTAATAACCTTTAGTTCTTCAGAAATATAAGTTATTTCCATGCTGACCAGAGGCCAAAACAAGTTGGAGAACGACACCAAAGTTCTTACACTATCTGGGACAAACTGGGGAGATGGTCCAAAACAAATACAATGAAAGAAGGACAAATGTGAAGGATTTCACTTCCATGAATGAGCAGCACAAATAAAAGATAAACAGCTGGCTAGACAGCAATTTTGCAACGTAAAAAACCCCAAACCCCAAACTTTAACTAACCATCCTCCCCAAAAGTTATTTAACTATCCCCCAAAAGATATTTGGGTGTAAAGTTACCAGAGGATGATAATGGCCACAATTTCACAAGTTTCATGTTTCACAGCATCCCAGCTTCCAGATAACAAAAGCATCAATGAAGTGAAGCTGTAATTTCAGAATGAGCACTGACTCATTACTAAATTAGACAGAACCACCACCTAACCAAATTAAAAAATACTTTTGCTCCTACTGTCGATTACACTTACCCTGAGAGAACACCACTACAAAGAGGTACAATTACTGGCATCCATTAATAATTTGTAAGCTCCTGCACTTGTAAAGATATCAATGTGTAGCTGTTGATCACTCATTGCTCCTGCCCGTTACTTGGGAAACGGTCATTTCAACACATTGATGGGTATTTTTACAATTAAAATTTGAAAAATCTAACTCCATTTTTAGACTACTTTAAGCTCAGTATAAATTTTGTGCCAGTTAGTTGATTTATGCACACAATTACCCTGATGGGGCAGGCACAGATGTGAAACAGACTAAACTCTGACTCAAACAACGCAAGTTATCTTTAGTAGATTTTAATTTGAATTACCTTTTATCACAACCTCACCAAGCTTCAGGAATGGATCTCTGGCTGGTTGTTTCTGAACCAGCTACACAAAACAAGATGTTTAGGTAACTGAGCTTCAGAAAAGAAGTCACTTTAAAATGAGATATTCAGTATCGCTGAACAGAAAGGGTCTTTCAGCATCTGTGTGCGTATGAAGAAAGTTCTTACTCTGTTCTTTAAATCATAATCTAAATTAGCCCACCTTTTTTACTTCACAGGTCCCAAACAGGCCTGAACAAGCCTAGAAACTTGAACAAGACTTAGAAACTGGGTATTTCCAAAAGAAACCCCATCCTCACAGAACTACCCTAGAAAATCATACAAAACAGTTGGGTTTATCTATATCAAGTTAGACTGCTGCTAAAGCGTTTCAGAAGTATTGAAGGTGACAATAAGTAGTGAGCAATCTCTCATCACCTCCTCTCTATCCCAACCTGCATGTTTCTCAAGGATATTCATGTATCCACATACACATGTGCACACTAGGCATCCACTCACTAAAGTCAGAATTACAAGTAATTATTTCTGCACTAAATCTGCACAGCAAAATGAGCACACACAAAAATGCGCAAGTCCACACTACGTAATTTGCCTTTGCTTTACCACCCCACAGGTTATGAACACCTCATTCCTTTATATCCTAACACTGAGAGCTTGATCTGGGCCTAGGAAAATAAAAATTACAACCATTAACCAAGTATAGGGAAATACAACGTCTGTGAATGCAGTTTATGGAGAATTGGTGCTCAGTAACTTAACAGCTGATGCATGTGTGTCCTGTTCCACATCATCACCATAACTGTGAGGTGCAGAGAACAATAATTTATACAGTAAGCAATAAATAAGGTACGTTTCCAGGTGACTTTGAAGTATGTTAACCTGACAGATGCTGTCCATAAAGAAAATCAGATTAGCACAAAACTGGAAGTAAGGAGGTGTACAAACCTACTAAATACAACCTAAGAACTTGATATTCTTTCTATGTAATTCCTTCCAATTCAGGATGTTTTAACTACAATTGTTTTATTAACATTCCCTCACAAGACCTTTATTAAATAAGCAGACTTGACATAAGGACAAAGCTATCACTGAACAGCTCCCAGGATTGGATCCAAAAACTTTAAGCACATGTCAACAAACTAGCAAAAAGGCTGCTCTGGTCTAAATCATGTCCAAAATCTAAAGAACAAAATAAAAGGACTTAGATGTTCAGCATTACAGGACAAAGGACAACTGAGGAAGCATTAACATTTAGCATTAAATGTCTGTGATAGTGACATAAAGTAGCCAGATACCCAACCTTTCACTGCAGTTTCCCACCTTCAACTTCTCTGTCATTATAAATGAACCTCACAGAGCTTTCATCAAACCATCTTTATGTAAAAGGAGACAGCACCGTAACATCCCCCAGGCTTTACTTCACTGCTCAACTGTCATTAAGGAATCGCTCTCCAGGTCAGCTGCAAGTGTTAAGTACAAAGGAAATCTGGAACAATTCTGCTAAGCTTCCATATACACATAATCCACACGCAGGTGGTAAGAGGTATGTGTGCTCACATGTCAAAAACTCTTCTTCTCTCTTATATGATGCTCACATCACTTTTTACGCATCTTCAGGACTGCAGCAGTTCTAGTTTCTTAGGAATTATACCAACCATTCAGCACTTCCCCTTTTGTACATTATTTATCAACCTTGTGTTAGGGCATAAGAGAACAATGTTATATCCAGAAATGAAACCACATGCCCTATTACTACAGATCCCTGTTTGCTTCATCACTTAATTCTGCGGAGAAGTTTCTTTATTATTGTATTCTGCTGCAGAAAGAACTCCAATAGAGGTTATCTGCCTGTAACTCCACCCCTAAGGCACTAACCTCCCCCCCCTTCTCACCCCCAAAAGAAGAAACAACTGCAAGCGGGTAGGCAAAACTTCCTTTTTGGTGTAGTTTATAACTTCATATTCCAGTGTGCGCACAGGAAAACCGGCAAAGTAACGCTCCCTATTGAAGTGCAGCGGTCTGACAGCGGCTGAAATTTAGCAGCGTGTTTTTTGATGACATACTCCAGTGCTATTTCTACTAAAAACCGGGCAGTATGACCATCACGTGTTCAATACCCGGGGAAAACAAGATCATTTGTTAGCCCTGCCGCTTCAAACACCAACACACGCACCGACAATACCAAAGAATAAGCTTTAATTCCCCGAAACTCACCCCGTAGCCAGCAATGTGCGTGTGTTAAACAGGCGAGGAGCCGGAACGCACACACCTCATGTGTGACCAAAGACCGCGGGGCAGACACTACGCGGTTTGACGCTTTACCCTTTCGGGAACGTGTCCCAGCTCAGGGCTGCTCGCCGCTCACGGTAACAGCGGCACGGAGGGTACAGTCCCGCTGCAGCCTCCTCCCGGGGCTGCAAGCGAGACACCGGCAGCAGCAGCTCTCCGGCTATCACCGGCCACAGGACCGCCGCAGCTCCCGCCCGCCCGCGCTGGCTCCAGGGACCGGCCGTCGCCGCGCCGCCCCCCGCGGGGACACGAACCGGGGGACACGCAGCGGCCAAGCCCCAGCTGGAGGCCGCTTGGCCCGGCCGGGCTTCTCCGGGGGCTGCCCCTTCAGCGCAACACCCCGCCCTGCGCGCCGAACTCACCGCGCCCTCGGCTGCTGCCCGGCCCGGCGGAGCGTCCCCCTGCTGCCCTCTCAGAGGCCGGCGAGTCGGCCCCGACCGTGCTGGTGGCGGCGGCCGCGGCGGCTCGTGGGCAGTGAGCGGGGCCGGCGGACCCTGCGCGCCTCCATCGTCCTCTCCCCGCCTCCTCGGCAGCGTCGGGCCCGCAGGCGGGGCAATGCGCATGCGCCACAGCGCTGCTCGCGGACCGGCGGCCCGCCCCTGCGCAGCGCGGAGGGTACGAGCGAGCAGCTGCGCATGCGTGATGCTTGTGGCGAGGGGTTTGTGTGAGGCGGGTTCTCCTTTCCCCTCTGCTTTTACTTTTAATTATAAATTATGTGGGGCTAGAATTAGAGCTCAGCAGAAAATCGCAATAAAAGGAGCAAGAAACGCGAAGAAAAGGGCAACCCCCCTCAAACATCCAACACAAAATGCACCGTAACAGCACTGACGGGTGGTGGTCTTGCTGAGGAGAAGCGGATGCACCGGCCTCAAACACACTCAAGGCCGAGCAGTCACTGGATCTCGAAATCACCAAGAACTTGTCACAAACTTCAGCAGAGGTAGGCTGAGGGCCCGATATAGATGCCAACAAGAAAAAAATCCTGCACAGGTACCAAATCCACTCAGGTTTTCTAATTTCTCAATTACGTTTTCAACCAATAGCACTTTAAAGAGATCATACATGTGTAGCTCGCTGGATTGTAGATCAGGAGAAACCCACAAAGTGAGAACAAGTCACACCATTTGACAGTGTGGCAATTTGGGATTATTTTTTTTTTCCTTCTTCCTTTATGTAGAAATTCATGTTTTCAGGAAACTGGGGAGCTGCCAAGAAGTGACAGTCAATAAATGACACGACAAACCTGAAAAAGAGGAAGCAGTTGCTACATGTGGGGAAATACCGTAGCAATGCTACACCACTTTCTAACTGAAGTATTTTCAGTCCCAGTTTCTCTTTAATCCTCCTTCCAGACAGTGCTAAAAGCCCGGTCTACAAGGAATTAAGGAAACAATACACAGGTTTTTGCAGTTAATGATATCCTGGAGACTCAAATGGCTTTCACGTGCTGAAAGTGATACTCAAACCATAAAGGGACAACACAACATGAGGAAGGAATATAGCAGTAAGTTTTACAGATTCAAAGCACTCATCTTAAGAGCTGCAGTAAAACATGTTCCAGCAAAGAGGAACACAGTGCCTGTGTTAACTGTCCATACCCAATTACTGACTACAGAAGCTAACCAAAGAGTAAATTTTCATTCGAGTTGGCTCTTGGGATGGATTTTTCCAAATTCATTAAGATGAAAGTGAGAAATCACCACCAAAGCCATTTTCCTGAAGGATGTATATTGGCTGTTATGGGAGGGTTTTTTTCCCACACACAGAAACTTCATGCAGTTGCTTAACATTTTGCAAGAGGCATGAACTGTGACATAATGAACACTTATCCTCATTAATCAGTGGAGATAAGGCTACTAATCAGCTGAGCCTATCCTATTTATAAAAGAGCTACAGTTATAACAGCAAATCTGAGCTGTCCAGGTTCAGCAGTGACCTTGGAAGTTCTGTTTGCTGGTGTGGACAAATGTAAGAGGCAGACTGGTAACATCTCTTCTGTCCTCCACAAACTGAAGTGCCATGAGAAAGAGAGGAGTCTTAAATTGCTTTTGAGCATGTTCTCCTTAACAGCATGATCAGAACAGTGTAGCTCAGCACTCTATCCCAGGTTGTGCTGCCTTTCTTTCAGGGAAGACACTGGACAAAAATAAAGAGAAATGTTGGCAGAAACACTGAAAAATAAGCATAAAAACCACACTGCATTTTTCTACTAAGGCTCTCAGTTTTGTGAAATATAATTTGACTGGCTTTAGATTAATAAAAAAGATAACTATAAAAACGTTGTTTGTTTGACCAGTTGGACAGAAGACTGGGGCCTGATAGAGAGAGGCTCTGCTCAGCCTCCATCTACAACTCAAGCCTATTCAGCAGAAGGTATTTCCGTTGAACAGGAAACAATTATCAGATTGTCTCTATTAGCACCTAAGAAGGTTGATGAACATAGTTCTTACCTCTCAAACTTCCTTTCAATCTGTGGTGATTCAGAATTCCTGAGGAATCACAAGGAGTAAAAATGGAACACAGAGGTTAAATTCTTGTCAAAATGGTGGCACATGAGCATGACGAATGAGCTATTTATCAATGGCCACAAACTACAAAGCCACTGACATAAAGGCAGAGAAATATATGCTATAGCATTGCATTATTCGGGCCAATTACAAACATCTCTAGTCGTTACATAAATATCATTATCCCAATTTTAAAGACTGAACTGGATTAACTGACTTGCACAAGGGTTAAGGAATTTGTGCTGGGCACAGCTGAGATAAGCCATCAGGAATGTTGGCATGTAGCCCCACACTCAATCCACTTGACAATACAGATCTTCTTTGATAATGTCAGATGATGATTGAAAGCTATTGGAAGCCAGTAAAGAAATCTTAGGTAATAGGGAGTGGGGAGATTTTGGAGAAATCTAACATGTGAAGAGTAATACCAACTGTCTGTATCAAGGAGTAGCTCCCAGGATTTACCTCCTATCTCATAGCAGAATTCGGAGAAGAGACAGACCTAAGGAGAATAGCTTGGGATACAGCTTGGGGTGTTCTGGGAGATGTTCCTGTCTCTCCTTGCATGACTAAGGGATTCTGTTTATCTGCCTTCAAAACAGGTAAAAATAATTACTTACTTCTATCAATCTTGTCAATACTGTGATCTCACTACACAGGAGTGATACAGGAAATGCCTCTTGGCACACACGCAAGGAGCACACACAGTCCTTATTTTATGCATTTCCAGTTGCTACCCTAATACAAATAAGAATTAAAAAACAGGTCTATTTATTACACTATTTTACTGTTCACAGGAAACCTGGTGATTCTTTTTAGGAAAGACCTTGATTCACAGGAGACATTGATTATTTTTAAGAAAGCAGCTTTATGAATTGGAACATTTAAAAGCTTCTAGTTGCTCCAGTTACTCCAGAGGAATTAGAAGGACACTGCTGCAGCACTGTCCAGCATTTATGGTCCAACACTGGAATATATGGGGGGTTTCCCTGCCCATGAGAGGGGGGTTGGAACTATACAATATTGAGGTCCTTTCCAACCCTAACTATTCTATGATTTATGACAGGAACATAGAAGAGATGTCAGAATCCAGCCTTATAGAATTCTCGTTCTCTCAGTGTTTAAAGGAATCTGCTTTATTTGTATCCCCTAGGCTAACATGGGAACACACCTCATCACCATAACAAACAGTTAAAAGATATTGAAATTGCAACTTTAGCTGCTAGTTGGCTCTTGATAATGGGGGAGCTGGTTGTTCCTAGTCCTTTACTTGCCAGAAGCCACCCAAGTCAAATGAGTAACATGAACACCCTGTTGCAATAAAGGAGGAAGTTGGGTCACAAGCTTTCAGAACTGCCCAAACTTTGAAAACAGTTTGATGAGCAGCAGCAAAGAAACAGTAAGATGGTTCCTTTACATTTGATTCCTGTTTGTTATCTTGTATTATAAATCACATTGACATCTAAAGACTGTTATGCAGCCACAGAATGATTTTAAATAGCAGGAGGCACAAGTTGAACAAGTGACATGGAAAGTAAAGTGGCCAAACCCTGTTCTTGTCACTAGCAAGGGTTAACAAGTGAAAGAATTATCACTGCAGGCTTTTCCTGCTTAAGTGTTGTACAGGTATGAAATACCATGCTCTTGTTCCAATGTAGATGGAAAACTCATTCTTCTACCTAGATTACCACAACAAAACCTTATCACATCCCAGGTGATTGCAGTAAGCACCAAGTAGTCATATGATATGTGTGCAAACACACACAATCATGACTTCGATGCAGATGGTGATTGTTAACTCATCGTGAGTTAACACATTTCTGCTCTGGAAGTCAGAAGGGAGCCAATGTGCAGCTTGCTCATGAAGAAAAATGTCCTTCCAGCCCAGTTGCAAGTCCAAGAGCTTTCATGTCCACCATCAGCAAAGGTACTCACATCATCTTACTATGTAGTTCTAAAGTCCCTGGAAGTCAGCACTCCTTTGCAATGGTTGGCTTATCAGACAGTGTACTCTTGTATTAAACACTGTTAAAACCAAAACAACACAAATCAGTCCCTAGATTAAAAAGTTACTCTTCCTCTTTTTTTTTCTTGTAATTGAGGCTCTTTGTTCCTCTGACCTTTAGGTTTGTGCTGTCCTAGGAATTATCTAATAGCACAAGGAAGTGACTTGTTATCACCATGACACTTGTTTTTTGGTTGTTGGGTTCTTTGGGATTTTTTGGGGTTTTTTTTTGTGTGTTGATAAACCTAAAATCTTGATAGAAGAACTTCAAAACAAAGTGTCTGGATGCTGATTTGCTGAGGAAGGTAATTTCACCAAGATGTGAGCCAATCTAGGGTTGATGCCAGCACAACCTGGACTTGCAGAGACAGAGTTAATGCTTGCAAAACTGTATGCAAAGGGAAAACTTAAATATATTCCAGACAGCAGAAACATATAAAACCAGCTGATGTGATCAGTACAACACAAATGAAGAGGAAACCAGTCTGGAGTCCAAAAGCTTCAATGTATGATTGTATTAAGTCAGAATATAAGCCTTACATCACACCCTTCTAACTGTCAAAACCAGAAATGACACTAGTCTCTGCCAACTGCTGCTTCATTTGCATCAGAATTCTCTATACCCCAGCATTATTAATGTTCTCCTTTTCATGTATTCAGCTTGTGTTTTGCAGATGCTCAGATCACAGATGCATTTGAAAACCTTCCCATTCAGAACCTTTGTTCTAGTTCACAGAAAGCCAAAGAAAGGTGATGAAGATACCCTTTTCCTTTGGGAGGTATATTTTCTTTTGTGCAAACACCCCATATTGAAATAACAGCCTACACTATAGTTAAATGATCCTTCATAGAAAAGAGGAAGGTAATTTTTCAGATCAAAGAATGCCACACTCAGGAGATCTGCACCTGCACTTACAATAGCTTGAGTGAACTTACTGGTCCTTCCACCTCAGGCAGAGGCTTACAGCGACTGTGGACCCCAGTGAAACCCATTCTTTCCCTGAGACATTTTCTCTAGAAAAAGTACCAGAATGAAGCATATTCATGTCTCATGATTACTAACTAGCTACCCTTAGGCACCGGTTTACCTTCCTTCTTCATTCACACATGAGTTTCACAATTCTGTGGTCAGGCAGCTATATATATTTAAAAAACCATCAAGATATCATCCATGCATATTGCCATCTCCCACCAGCCCTATGGCTCCACCTTCTTCCACCAGGTAACTATCTTTTCCTTAAAGATAAGTGTTTTCTTTTTAAAGACTGCGTTTTCTTTTCAAGACACATCTTAGTTTCCTGTTTGCTGATTTCTTCCTCTACTGCTAGAGGACAAGCCTTCCAGCATCTCCAGTTCTGGCAGTGATCCTCACTAACGTTCAGAGATGCCCAGTAAGCATGGCTGACCCCAAATTACTTTTTCACTTCCTGTTTTGTCTCAAGTATTCACCTATTTCGAAACGGCAAATTGGTCATCCACAAAACATCTCAGTAACCAGGTAAGCAACATAATGCTTTTAAGTCTATTACTAAACAACTCCTAACAACAGGAAAACAGGACTTGGTGATACCTCAACAGGCCATACATTTGTCTGCCCCAAGGCAGGAGCAAGTCTATCCATGTCACATCTAGCAGACATCTACCAAAACAGTTCTTTAGGTTTGCTAATGGTAGAAACACTACAGCAACTTAAGGCTACTTAGTCCAGTGCTACTCCTGACTTTTACATTAAAGCTATTCTAATGCAAAACCTCCTTGATACATTCTGAACTCTTTACCTTTTACTCTATCCATAAGTTATGTTCTTAACAGGCTACGAAGCTGTGGCTGCCCCATCCCTGACAGTGTTCAAGGCCAGGCTGGACACAGGGGCTTGGAGCAACCTGCTCTGGTGGAAAGTGTCCCTGCCCATGGCAGGGGGTTGGACCTGGGTGAGCTTTAAGGTCCCTTCCAACACAAACCAGTCTGGGATTCTATACACTGTGATGTGGGACTGTCACTTGAGGACAGAAGCAGCTGTCTTTGCCCCTAGGAGTATCCAAGCAAGTCTGTGACAAAGGTAGTGGCAGAAGGTGCATTTGCTGCTGTTCCTATCCACCCTGCTCCAGAGCCTGCACAGAGGGGAGCAGGGAGCATTAAACCCCAGAATCCAGGGAACAGCTGCTTTAAAAGCTGCAGCAGTGCCCTCTAGCGTCTGTGGGATGCTGCAAAGTCCTTAACTGAACCGCTCAAAAGGGTTCAAGCACAAAAGGTGAACTTTTTAACCAAGCTCAGTAATGCTGCTTACACAGCCTGTGACAGCAGGCTGGCCATCAGCCAGAAGTAACTCATTTTGGTGTTTCTCCCAGACAGTTCCCTGCAAGTAATATTTTAGGTCATCAAAATTCATAGCTAAAAAGCTTCTGAGGAAGCTCAGGGGGTCATGCCCTGGCATCTCTTATATTTGTTCCATTTCATGAAATACAGCATGAAATTCATGCACATTCTGTCGAACATCACATTGAAACCAACGTTTCAAATTTCAACATGCGACCTGAAATCAAACTACTGAAGTAACATGATAGTTAATTACACAGTTATGACTGTAAGGTCAGAAGCGAGACCCCAAGTGTCATACAAGCCTAGAAAGGGGGTATTTAGTGTTTGCATATAGCATAATCTTCAGTTCCCAGCAGCTGAAGAGTCTGCAGGCGATCAGTCATGCAGGTAAAGTTCCTAAATAATGCACGGCACTCCTGTGAATGGTTCTTAATGCACATGCTTCCTGTGGGGATCACAGTTCTCTTGACTGCAGTCAGCAGTAGGGCAGGGCGCCATTCTGGAAAGGGTAGGAAATGAATCAGAACTGCTTGCAGACTGTTTCACCAATGGATCCTGTTCCTAAAGGGTAAGCTCTAAGCAGTCAGTTCTCAAAGCTCTCCTATGGCTTCTGTCACTGTGCTGTCCTCCACCTAAGAGGATACACGGGTGTCCCACAGCTCTTCCCAGACACGCCTGCATGTCCCGCATGGCCGTAGGCAACACATACACACCCCTCAGCGCTCCGGCCTACTCTGAGCTATGGGGAGGGATCCTTCCACACCCAGAGACACAGGTTCTGTCTTGCCTGCAGCAGTAGGGTGCTGCCAGATGGATAGCGTCCAATTTCTTTACCTTCCTTTGGCCTCTCCAGCTTCAGCCCCAACAGCTCCCATCCGCAGCCAGTGAGTGCTCCCTCTGCCACCACATCATAAGCAGAGTGAGGCTAGGAAGGGAGGGCCCATGTGCGCCTGAGGTGGGCGCAGCCAACAGCATCCTGGAACGGACACCCACGATCTCTGCGTGGCCTCTGGGAGAAGGGAAGAAGCAGTGACCACTATTAGTGCACATTACCTCTGGCCAGAGGCCCTTTCCCACTGGGGCCTCAGACACCTCGCTGCCATCACCTCGGGGGTTGGGGGAGGCCTGGAGCAAAGGAAAAGGCTCCTGGGAAGTAGGGGGAGAACACGGGATACAGGAGCTGCGGCTGCTGCACACGGTGAGCACGGCCAGGGCAGGCTCAGGGGCAGCGCTGGGGGGTGCCGCCTCCTTCCCCTCTTCCCTCCTGCCGGCTCCCAGGTAACTCCCTGGGGCTGCCGTGACCCGCCCCGCCTCCAGCAGACCGGGAGCGGCTGCACCGGGGGCTTGAAGCTTCCCGTCCCCCACCCCTGGGAGCCCGCGGGAGGTGCGCGCTGCCCTCCCCCACGGCCTCGGGCCTCGCATTCCACCGCCGCCGCCGCCATTGCCGGAACCCATACCATGGGAGCCGCCATATTGTTGCTAGGAAATGCGCATGCGCAGTATACCTACGGCACGTCAGAAGGGCCAAAAAGCCAGAACGCGACCGGAGGGCTGCAGCCACGGGATAGCAACGTCTGCGAGCACCTGGAGCGCCCGCCGGCACCGCGAACATGGAGCCGCGGCGGCAGCGGAGGCGTTTCTTTACCGGGAAGCAGGAGCGAGGGCTCGACACCGTCTCGGTAGCACCACAGTATCGCATTTCCACTTCCGGAATATAAAAGCGACACTGCGCATGCGCAGAGCTTCGGCTGCAGTACCTCAGTCTGGACACAGGACGGCAGCAGTG